TTAGTTATTACAATCAATTTGTTCTGGGCGCTAACTAACTCTAGGCACGCTAAAGTACCCTTTTCACGAACACATTATTGCTATATCGTCGGGAAAAAAGTTTTCATATATAAAGGAAATACAACCGCTCAAGTTTTCCTTCTCGATTCGCTCGGATATAAGTATCCTCTAATCCTTTCGCTTAATCCGCCATCAAAACCTCTTTTGACCTTTAGTTAATTCCCTGACTTCGTAATAATCCTAAAATAAGGATAGAGACTCCCTCTTTGCAAGTCGAATAATCGCTTGCTTACAAATATATGACTTCGATAGAAGAACCCGTTATCCGATACCAAGACTATTAAAAAGTCACTTCCGGCCGCACTAGTACATAATAACATAGTAATATTAGTTGATATAATTTTCAAACTTTATTAATTCAGTACCGAAGTCTTGATACATCGTCCGTTCGAAAATACAGACGTCTAGACATCGCTAGATTTGAGCTAGTCTAGACGGGCTGCGACCCTTTTATTATTTGCTACGTACTCACCCTTCGTAAGTTAAATTACATTAAACGAAATATGTATGTGGTTTATATTGCGTCTGTGTTGGGGCTGTTGCCAATTTAATGGGGTTTGAAAGGAACAAAATGTATGCGATTGACGTATAATAACCGTATTTCAATCGGTTACTATGTGTCAATCCCATACAAATTTTTATTTTATATAATTACTCTTTAATACAAAAATCAATCCCGTTATAATAAGTAAGTGTATAGCTATGTGTATATTGTAACTAGAGTGTAACTAGAGGAACTATCGCTAGTAAGCAATTTCTTACAGGCAACCCTAATTTCGTTTCTCTTTTGTAATTGTCACCTCGTTTAAGGCCCCGGAGTATTTAGTATATCAGAATTCAAGACGATAGCTGCAGAGTGATTCGTTATCTCGATATATTATAGTGTTCACTAATGAATGACTATAGTATCTACACAATTGCTTCAAAACAAATGATAACAATTGTAAGAATTATTATTATCGTTGTTTTATCGATAATCGTTATTGTTATATGAATACTGTTACTTACTATTACAATTTGTGAATTTTGCATTATCCTGTAGTAATGCGGTTATTTTTTGTGATTAATTGTCCTTTTGTTGACATTGTAACTATGAACAGGAAAATAGAATAATTATGTAGCATATGATTTTGCACAAGCCGTAGATAAAATTTTTTCGGCCGGGCATGGTACAGTAAAGTTATACTAGTAAAAAAATCAACACGCATGTTCCTTTAAGGCCAATATCCACCAGTGGCAACTTTTGAGGACTGCAGATGATGAATTTATAAGCTTTACACCTATATACCTTTTACTAGTTCTATGTCTAGCCTAACTCATGTGAAACATGTGATTCTTAATTCTGACATTTGTCATCATTAGTATAATTTCAATATTCAATTCTAATGCGTATTGTGCAAATGTTTTTGTAATAAAAATTGTTTACACGTTAATTTTATATTTTCAACCGTTTTCCGCATTGCATACCACTGCAGCGCGGAGATCCCCGCGCGAAGCTGACTAATCACACTTGTTTATTTATATGGCTAGATGATTGCTCATTGGAATCGGATTCTATTTTTAGATTGTTATTTTGTTTGTTGTTGTGATCGCATAACGCGAAGGTAAATAAACACTGTTATTACCTTGATGTCAGGCGCATCTGTCTTTCATGTTTTTTTTTATTCTACATTTCATTGAGATTTAAAAGCAATTGTACGTACTTGGGCGATAATTGAACCCGACTTGACTATAGTGCTGTTTCCCAAAGCTTTCGTGTGTACGTGTACACTTCAAATTAGTTGGATAACGGGATAAACTTAAAATAATGTATCCATATGTAGATCTGGCGTTGGATTCACAGATTGTTAACTTAATTACAATGAAATGGTAAGCTAATTTTACATTTACAATAATTTTTAAGAAATATTCTACAATTTAACAGTCTTAAAGTGTTTTTCATATACAACGAATGTGCTCTGTTCCTGGTTGAGAAGAATCAGTTATTTATTTAGAACCCTTATGTCAAAACACCTATTTTTAATTTTTAAGATGTGATAAAAAATAACAGCATTAATTATATACGTAAAGCTCTTTTTGGAAGTAAAAAACGATAAACTTTATAATATAAAATATTTTATAGTTTATCGTGTAATAAAATACAAACAAATTGGTTTAAGTTGTTATAGTAATATTTGGAATCTGGGCTGTTGGATAGGTCAGGCACTTTGCTTTGTTATCCTTATAATTATGTTGCATCTGGACACGTGATTTTGATTGAATACAATTTTGCGTTAGGTCCGTAGCCACGTGTCTAGTACTCAGACACGGGCAGTTTAATTGTTCAGTTAATTGAATTATTATCTACTAATAATTGCCATTCTTCGGCGACAGCTATATCCTGAATATTATGTCAATGATGTAGTCTGAAGTAATGCTATATTGTATATCCCTTAAAAAAGTTAAATGTTAACCATTAAGGTCATAAAGCGTTAATTAAAAATTATAGAAAACAAACTGACGTGAGATTAAAGAACGGTCTTTAGTAAAAATATAATGCTCTTCAAATATAATTACATATGTATTTAATATTTTTTACATGTTTATGGCACATGTTGGCGAGAGGTGCATGATGTAGGTTGAACAAATTTGAATACGACGTCTAGGACACGGCTAGCTTTATTAGTTAGTAATATCAGTTCAAATTCTGCCCGTGTAATAATATTTCCTTTTTTTCTCAAATCGATTTTCATGTAAATATAAGTGTTTTCAAAAGATGGTTATGCATATTCGCCTTCCAGTAATTAAAACTTCGGTTCAAATGTTATTAAACTTCATTTTTTGTTAAATAAAGGACCATGTACTGTTTACAGTCCGTTTTGACTCGGAATGTAAGCATGTCGCCACCATTTTTAATATTATGGTAAAGTGATAAGATAAGCTTGTTTCGAATGTTTGAAATTAAAAGCAATATTGTTACGTAACGATAAATTAAAATAAAACGAAGACAATACGTTGTACGTCGCTCGCCAAGGTCGGGGTCGTTGAACCTATTTACGTCTTAAAAACGGGCGCCTTGTCAACGTCGGCGCTATGTTGTGGAAAATTAACGTCGAATTATTTTTATTTGTATTAGCTAGCTGGCAAGTATTTGAAACAGAGACTGCCTCTGTAACTTAATTGTGAAACCTTTGGTTGCGTTTAGCACGAGAGGCAATTATTGACTTTTGGAAATAGTAAATATTTAAGTTTAATCAATTAGTGAGACGATTTATTAAAGGAAACGATATTTTATAAGTGTCGGATTCTATGCCAAGGCACGAAGGGCAAAGTGAAACTCTACAATGTCAAAACAAAACGGATACTTTATTTTTCTCGTTTTTAAATGTAAACCTTTGTTTTGATCGAACTCTCGCCTTACCTTGAGAATTGGGATGAATAACTGTTTCTCAACCTTTTATTTTCCTTGCATTGTTTACTTCTTGGAATTAGTACATTGCGCGCTAGCGGCGACCCGCGCTGTTTAACTTCCTACAACAAATATATTTAAATGTGTTATTCTAGCCTTAAGTTCCTTTTAGAAGCTGAGGGAAGATAAATTAAAAAAAAAATAGAATATATATCGCCAAATTCGGTTAATATTTTAAAAATATAATCGATTGAACCAAGGAGTTTTATTATCTCAAACTACCCTCTCTTTCTCCCCTTTGGAGTGGAATTCAAAATCATTTGCCCCAGTTAAACACAGTTTCAGGTCTCCACTACTAAGTGCTAGACGGCTTTTATTCACCGGTCAATCGGTTGAACAAAAAATTATAAACATGTATAGATTTGTACTTGTTTTTCACTGATAGCGGCATTATGATATGATGGTATAACGTCGGCATCGTAAACAAACGTGTTTTGCTTCAAGTGGTTATCAAATTATTGTTATTGGTAATTTATAATAGAGTTAAGTTCAAAGTCATATCTCTACATTAATGATGTGGGAACGTTTTTGAAATTGCGCCGTTGTAATGAAGTTTCTAAGAATGTATCTGGCTTCGCGTTATAATAGTAATATTAACTCGAACAAAAAAGAGTTTATTTCATTAGTAAACAGAAGTTGCCTTTAAAGAAGTACTTATTTAATTTCAGTGTAATAGGGTGTGGCATCACAAACAGTTATGTCGGTTGTAATAAGTACATTTACAAACATAACAGTGTTTGTTGTCTCACCTCGGCGGTAGGTATAAAGAAATATTTTCCTCAATAAAATTCGTAATTTTATATCAAGTTTCTCGGTTTTCCGAGCACCCACTGACGGGTTTGTATTTTTAATGAATGTATAAATGTCAAAAACAACATGATGAAGTTGAGAATTTCGGTTAAGTAGGGTACAGTTTTCCTGCGAAGTCAAATATTTTCGTCGTACTTCTTTCAAGTTTCATAAACAGTATTTGATGACGCCTTTTAACCTTTTTTCAAATTCCACGAGACTTTGCAATGTGTGAGGTTTCTTATTGACGAATTTTACGCTATTATTAGCTGAAATAACGTTACTTAAAATGTTACAAGATTTACAATATAATTATTTCGTTTGAGAAATGTGTTCTACGAATACATGTTAGATACAATATACAGACATTTTACAATAGACGAAGAACAAAAAAGCAAATTTATGCCTATAGCGATTTCGAAGCAACGTTGTTTGTTGTTTGTGCAAAGTACGCCTTGAAAACCAATTATGTATAATGCACGATATATTCAACGTGTTCGTTTTTTCTTTAATGAATCGCTCCCTGGAATTATTTACTCAGGGCGCGAGTCATTCACTTGGCGCCCGTTCTGTTTTCAAAGTTCCGTAAACATGTGGTGGATACACGTTAACACAGTGGGGTATTTCCGGTGCACTCAATACATAGATAGACGGATGCGTGCCGCGCCAGAGTGCAATGGAATATTCTCGGTATGAGTGAACGATGCCCCTTGTTTACAGTCGAGAGTGGAACGCACAAGCGCGCCCGTCGGGTAAAATGTGGACAGTTTGTACTCCGTAGGCACGCGACCCTCATCTGTCGTTGCCGTATGACTTGCACATGACGCTATTTGACTTTCGAAATTTTGAAAGCCCACAGCGCATAGCTAATGAATATGCATTACCTGCAGATTGCTGATAGATAACTAATGAAAGAACAGTTTAATGAAAGAAGTACATTTCGGTCGGTGCGACCTTCGTTCAATATTGTTTTACTTAATAACACTCACGTTAATTGCAGACTTAACATTATTTTATTTTACTCTCTTGTTGTTTTGAGTATTAAAGGCTCTCAAAGATAAAAGTTCTTATACAAATGTCATTCTGCATTATCATCTCGTTCGATTCATATTCAAAGGTTATTGACTATCCTCAATTTGGCTTGAAATAGGTGACCTCTCCGAATAAATGCGCTCAAGCCAAGAGGATTATGTTTATAAACACGGCCTTTAGATAAAAGGTTATCGTTGCACACTATGTTGTAATCGCACCTATAAATAAAACATTCTTGAATGTACCTACGATTTTTGCCGATCATGACAGAATTGTTTACGGGAAGCGGAATTCGAGGAATGAAACATTAGGCTCATGTTCTATTCATAGGAATTGATGAGAGATCTGATGGATGTATGACGCGGCCTCGACGCGGACGGCGCAATGCAGCGCTCCGATTTGGCTCGGCGCCGGCGGAGATCACGAGGGCAAACATAATGCTACGACTGTGGTACATGACATGTGTGGCATTAGTGTCTTTGAACACAGGTCTCGGCTAAAGGGAGCTTTAGCTATCAGACTATGCTAGCGTATATGTACAACATATTATTTGCAATATTACAGCGTAGTCCGAAGTAGTCTAATTAATAATACTAATGAATGTTCTAAATGAATGCCAAATAAAAAATAAATTTATTAATATTACTAGAGGGGTCCGCGACTTCGGCCGCGTAGAATTTTGGGTGTCGAAATTTGCTTTCCTCCTCAACCTTAAACCTTCATCATCTTTGTAAATTACAGATTTCTCACGACTTCGTCGGCGTTCCGTCATTCTTGTAAGTTGATCTTAAAAGATAGACATATACTGTAGTGGTATTTTATATAATTTAAAGAGGATTCACTCTTTTCTATTCTTTTTTGGGTATTCTGAACCATTTTCGCAGGCACGAAACGTGAACCCTTCGAAGATGAGTAATTTTCCCCGTTTGAAAACATTAATATTGTTTACATGTTACATGAAGGCACCATATAATTTAAAAATGTTATATATTCGCCTTCCTCGATAAATGGTTCAACCAGCACAAAAAAAGGTTCTCAAATTGAACCAGTAGTTCTTTCAATTAGTGCGTTGAAACAAACAAACTAATCAGCTTTATAATATTGGTATAGATTTGCAATAATATGTTGTTATATTATAGCGTAGTCTAACGAAATGTATTTACTATGTATTACCCTGTATTGTAGGGGATAACATTACCTAGAACATGTCGACATTATCCATCGGAGTGGTCTTACGCCATCGATCAATGATGCAATTGGCGATACTTTATCGGCGTTCGCGATTATTTATCATGTGCTTCTAAAAACACATTAAACACGGCTAAACGTTTCTATTGTTTGCCGTATATACGTTGCTGCTGAGTCAACATGGGTTACGCGCGTAAGAAAAACTCGTTTATTTCAAGCGTGTAATGTAACTATGACGATAACGTCAATTGTTATTTTGACGATTTTTCTCGTGATCTGACGTCAGCTGGTTTCGTGTCAATGATGAATATTATTTATAGGTTTGTCAAGTTAAAATAGGAGCACGCGTGAATGGGGCCCTGATTCTGCCAATTCACGGAGGGATATTAGCATTAGAGACAAGGAACGAGGGGCCAGTGTAAATAGCAGAATCAGGGTCCGGTGAGACAGGACGGATTTGGCCGTCAGTGTTCTTGCGCCCACGCCGCACGTGATTCATTCGTTTGGCCGAACAACGGTAAACATTGCCCCATTACACTATGTACTCTGTTAGTGCAAATTTCACGCCTGACTATTCTACGAATTTTGAAAATTCAGTGCGATTTACTTAGTAAAATTATTAATAAAACACTTTTTCAGTTTATATACGCTATTATATGAAATTATTATTATATCGTTTGAAAATAAACATATTTGGATGGTAAAATTTTGTCGATTAATGTTCCAGACCATGGTAGAAGTAAAGGACTAAACCCATTTTTAATATTCTGTCGGCAATCGGTAGCAGATTGTACATACTTGGTGTTTTAATGTAGTTTGACTCTCTTGTCATTTGCTTTTTAAAGGACGGTTCAGGATTGAAAAATATTGGTTATTGCACAGGCGTTCCGATGGCATGTCGCAAGCATGTCACCGTTTCATGAAATAGAGTCGGGGCCAGTCTGGGCGCGCCGGCGTCGTCCAGTGTACGCTTTTAGCCGCAACATGATCCGGCTGTGCATCACGTCGCAGACGACGGTCGCGTCACTCGCGAAACAGCGGTGCATCCAACAATAGACCCCGGCAAGACTCGCAGACGATATTCTTTCTTATTTTGCATTCCGTTCCCAGTCACTTGCGTGATAAAAATACTTTTGAATAAAACACTTTAACGGTTTAAAATGCGATATATATTAGTTTCATTTTGCAGCATTCGCTCACTCACTTTGTACTACTCGCGTTAACTACAGACAGTATTTAATACAAATACTTTATCACACTAGAGGGTGATAAGTATTAAATTGCATGTAAATTACAGTTTCATTAATTAATTAACGTGTCATAAATTGCCCCCTAATGGTGACTTGACAATGTATCTCGCTTTCTCACCAGTATCGCTTGCTCATACGTACTAGTATGTGGCAAACGCCCAAACGCCTCATAAGGTTTAGTAGTAATACGCACTAGATTTTAGTCATTTTGTATTTTTATTATTTTACGATTGCAACACCTAAAAATATATGGCAATTAAAAGACATAAATAAATGAATAATTCAATGAATAACGCTCAAATCTACGTAACGTTATACATATTATAATTAAAAACACGGCCTGTGCACAGAAAGCTTATTTATAGCTTACCTAATAAAATAAATATAAACTATTATAATATCTACCGCTGGATACCCATTTTTTGAACGTGTTTTTTATTTATTTCTTAATTTTTGTACCGTCTTATTTTTTATTAATAAAAATAAAACGGCAGTAAATAAGCACAGTATTACTCATATTGAGAGGTTAGCTTGCTATTAAGGCGACTGAAAGGTGCGTAGATATTTTCTCGAAAGAAATTACAGTCATTCTCAATAACGCAATAACGTATATAGGCTAGATTCTAAGGCTACTAATGATACTGAGGTCGGGCGATATTTAGACAAATCCTTTGCTATTGTCATCTAGGAAGAAACATTTGAATAGAAACTCGTTTTGAAAATGTAGCACAGAATTTCCTCGAGCCGTAAGTAAACATTAATTAAGCGTTCGTAGTTCCACGTGCAACTGAATGGCTCCGTCCTCGTGTTTGTTTTCATTCGAGTTCACGGCGGCGACAAAGGAAAATTTTATTGGTTTTTCGTGCAAATATTGTTTCTCGTCGACGATAAGAAATGAGTATCAAATCGGGTGCATAGTACTCCACGTGTAACGCTCCCCACGAGCTAGTTTTACGACCGGCTGTAAACACTGCGATCTTTGTTATTTTTTCGCGCGAAAATATTGCACTATTTGCCCGGTCAGCCATCAGTTTTTCATGGTCCCCTTATTGACAATAGCTATACATTTATTATAGCAAAGTTAATGTACAAATACACTTTATAAGTGAACTAATTACGAACATAATGTACTGTAGTTTATGCGAGTAGTACGCATTTAAATAAATCGCTTTTAACGGACTAATAGAGTTCGTGTTTTAAACTAGTATGATATGGTCCTTATGTAAAGGATAAAATAATTAATTTAAAGTAAAAGCGATTAAGAATAACGCAATTATTAACAACTTATTTAGTTATCTTTTTAATAAAAGTAAAGGCATGGGGTCGTACTACATATTGTAAATAATTTTATGGTGTCATTACCAAACATTATTTTGTTATTTTTATTGTTATTTGGTTCATACGTAAACATTTCGTAGATTAACGTGTGCGAGTAAAGATTTGAACAAGCCAGTGTCGTCACTGAGGTACGAAAAGTTGCTCATTGCTAGAGATATCTATGCTACGTAAATTTTGCTGATAGGTACCTTACTATATAAGTGATAAAGTATGTTTTGTTCTGGTATCAATAAAGTCTCCTTACTTTCGCAATAAACGCAAGCAAAACATTTTCAAGAAAACAACTGAAAGCTTATAATAATTTCAATTTCAAAATCCCTTCATCGCTCTGTAGCTTTCAATATTATCCCTTCGGGCCATTAAATATTTATATTTGTTGTCAACGCTGTGTTTGTAATGTTATTGTACTGCCATTTACCAAATATGGGTTCCTATAGTGGGCCATGTGTTTTTATTACTTTGGTATAGATTTATATTTTCCGGAAAACGCGTTTCTTTCCGATTGTACAGAAAAGCATTGCGTTGCCATTAATATTAATAATATTAACATTTAAGTATTGTTGTTGGTACTGCAGTTTAGTGTTCCCCCCTGACGACAATTGCAACAAAGCATTTGAAATGCCGGGTTACGTTACATTATATATTTCGTGTTCAAAACTGTTAAATGTTTTTTTTTCTTATAACCTACCTACTATTCGATTCGAATCTACGATTAATTCGAAATGATCTACCGTCCTACTCGCCCCTACTAAAAAGGTTCTAGAAATAGGGTCAATGATTGTGGGATAATAGAAACAAACAATGTATTTTCTCATGGTGTAGTATGTGGAACCAGTTCGTCGCGTATTGATGTGAATACCGAGTGAAAGTAACGTCTAGGTTCTCCCACTTTTCATTCGTCGTTTGTAAACAAACATAATAGATACACACAACGTAATATAACATACCGAAATGTGAATGTTTCCTGTCCAAGTAATTGAATACGGACAGACGGCGAGGCGGCGAAATACGTTGAAGTTTGCTCTCGACTTTCTGGTTTTTTGAATACACGCAAGCTAGAAAGTGACGTTCTAATGTTGGTACGATTCACTCTTTATTCAATGAAAAAATTTCGTTTGATTACCAGTTACCGACTTAGAAATCGTAAGTTCAAAGTTTGCTGTCACTAATACTATGGATAGTAAAAACAAATAATAATTGTGGGTACTTGTTTTACTTAAAACCTATAAATGCTTAGTAAAAACTACAATTTGCACAAAAAAAACATCAGTTATCAAAAAATATATTACTGTAATAAACACATACAAATACCGATATGTCTATAGTTTACGCGAGTAGTAGTAAAACGCGATATATTAGTTAAACTTGTGACCCACGGCTGCTGCAAAACATCCGAAACGTTGGACCGAAGTTAAAAATCATTTTCAAATAAGTTTAACTAATATAGCGCGTTTTTAACCGTTAAAGTGTTTTATTTAAATACCGACATGTTCAACTGTATTAAGTCAATACAAAATGAATAAATTAAAAATAAAATAATGTTAGAGGGAAAGTCTCTTGTTTTTTTACCACTTTTGACATAGAACCTTTATTTAAGATAGGAAATCAGATTTTTTAAGATTATCAGAATATCATCTGTGAATTTTGAATACAATGTCACTTCGAACGACTATAATGTACTTATAACTCGCAAAAGAACACCAGCTGAACGGTTGTCCTTGAAGGCAATAATGCGATGTATATCCCCGAATAAGATTTTAAGTAAATGCGACTGAGTACAATAACCTTAGCCTGTATGTTTGTACTGACAACCTATTATTAGGTCGGTGTCTAGACGGAGTCATTAGAACTTGAATAAGTTTACGAGGGTAAGGTGAGAGAATGGGGATAATGATCTGTCTGTGGGCACCAAATCTTCAAAATTTTTATTGATCTTTTAATACGAGTAGGATGTAATGACGAATTATTACTATCGGTCATATAGCATATAGCTTTTCCAATTAGCTTAATGCTTTAACAGACAGTTGCATCAACAATTTTTAATAAATTTAATTATCATCTGCGTGTCATTAGTTACGTTTTATCTCCACTTCGTAAAATTTGATAGTTACCTAAAATCGGATTTTATTGTTTGATTGCGTCAAGCAGGGAAATTATAAATTACTTTTGGATTAATGAAAAATTAATGTTAACAAAATGCAATTACCTATGTGGGTACCATTTTTAAGTAAAAATATTTGGCCGCTACTTTCATTATTACTGTCATTTGTTTTGTTAACTAGGGACCATTAAAGCACTACTACACGGAAATGTATAATCCTCACCTTATGTCAAATTCCAAGAATAGCTAATGCAAAACTTTAGAATGCCGATACTACATTGTATTCTAAATTTAGAATTAATGAAACTGCATGAACAATAGTCGAGACTATTTTTAAGGTTAACAATAAGGTAAAATAAAAACATTCAAGACGGTTCAGGTAGATGAGATTGCTCGAGATGAGGTGAATGACTGGGTCCTCAACCTGAGCGTAATTATTATGGCGCAAGAGATATGAGTCGAGTGCCCACAACGCTCCTATGTCCTTGTACTTACTTGGCCATTTCCGAGGCAAAAAAACGTGTAAAACTTCGCTCAGGTATGCAAGCTTATTGCTCACAATATAGCTAACGCTACTACGCTAACGTATACTTCATAGCACGTCGATATCACGAAATATATATTTACATATTCGATATTCTGTGGTATTATTATACATAATGTCACACATAACTATATATATTTGTATTAAACGGAAATGTAACGGCAAATGAGTATGTATAGGCATTGTATATGCGTGTCAGTCAATATTACAAAACGCACGCTTGTATTACAGTGACCGAATTAAAAAAAAAAACACTTTTTTGGCAAATCGTATAAAACTATGACGATGGCGTTATTATAGTAATGTCAGTGCATTTATCTAATTTTACTTAAATTTTGAGTTTGGTCACTCTAATACTAAGCGTGCGAAAAGAAGTCACAATTGTAAAACAGTTTATAAAATGTTATTTGATACGAAAGCTCAATAATAAGCCTCTTTTCAGACTACGCTATGTTTAGTGGAATAGGAAAAAGTAAAAAGCGCGCGACTATTGTTTCAAAAGTAGTCTGCACACAATATAATATTACGTATTTATGCTGTTATGTATTCCGAGTTATAAGTTAAGATAACTTACGAGACCCTCAAAAGAATCTCTAAAGATTGAAGAGCCAGGGTCAAAAAATCGTCTGGGTAAAATCAAGCGAGACGGTCAATGGCGGTGCGGATTCCAAGCGAGGCAAGTTTAACGCTTTAAGGGTTTTTAGCCTTCGTGGAATTTGAACTTACCGACAGCAAAAGTCTAGTAGTGTGTTTTACCGCCGATATTTTTTCTTTTATTCACTCAACCGTAATTTTTCACTTCATTTACGGGAGATAAAAAATCATAAGTATACGTTTACATCGTTAATTTTACATCGTACATTTTAAAGATATTGTATTGACCTTGTACTTTAAAAATTATGATCATTTTAAAATTAACATGTAATTTAGTTTTTTTTTTGCTTAAGTTATAAGATTAGTCTTAACATAAAACATTAACAAATTATAATTAACGAGACTATTGAACTTTTATAATAATAAACAATTATTGGTATTGGTATTTTTTACACAAAATGTATATATACATATATAAAGTGTATTTTTTCATGAAAATAAACCTTTAAATATTTGTTAACAATAAAAATTAAATATAATTATTAACTGAGTTTTTTGTTGTTAAAATACCAAGACACAGTGGGTGCTAATATTTGGTGAAATTTTAACAATAGATTAACAGAATAAGAATTGAGCTGCCATGTGATTTGTGAGACCATTGAGTTTCAAGCAAAGAACACGTGGTTGGCGCCATTTTGTAATATTTTCCCGCCTTCTACAACCACGTGTTAGTCTCCGTGTTTAAAGAACAGTTTATTTATTTTTAATTATTAATAACCAGCGGTTTCGTTACCTTGTTTGTATTAAACGCGCATTAATTTTGTCAACATATTTCTAACATAAATAATGGTTAATTCTTAAACCATTATTGTGTTCTTCTGTGTGTGTGTTCTACTGTGTTCTTCTATTTCATAGATGTTCGCTTAGTCATACTGATGTTATCTTACGTTCTGCAAGTAGTACGTAAACACACACCGAAGATAAGTATGAATATACACACCTTATTACGTTCAACGTGTTTATGGCGCCAAAATGTGGCGGCATGGTATAGGTACTCTGCTACGTTAATAAACCGCCGTTCATTGCGCCCGCTTGGGTGTATTGGCCGCACTGTACGCGCATCCTGTCTATTACGTTTGTGTCGTCCCTTTCCCACTTATCGGAAATCCACTAATAAAAAGGGGATGCCCATATCACGTGCAACGATTTTTGTGCCATAGAAGGACGAGCCCCAAGATCAATGCACTCTCCGAGGACGGCGAGGCCGTTCTTATAGGGAGAAATATAATTCGGATCCTTTGATTCGAATTGTAGTCTTAAGATACGATACCTAAGACGTTTTTTCCAAGCGGACCCCCATACGTCATCTAGACGTTAGGATATTTTTCTTTTTCACAAACGCACCGGCGAGTCTGCGACGGTACTGCATGCAAAATCATTCGATTTTACATCGCTTAAAATTTTGTCAGATATATTTTTGTAAATATAAGTGGAAACATTACGGCCACGTGCATAAAATATAAAGGTTTTATTTGACACATTTGATATTAGAATACAATGAAAATACAGGATGTACTTATAATCTCGGCTGCAGACTGTACAAATCGAATTGTAAGTTAAAAATGGTTATAATTTACGTAGCAAGCAACGTGTCTTTAATGTCTGCTTGAACATCTGTGACGGTCCTCTTTGGGCGGTTTAAAAGTTTCGTGTCTATCCAAACTAATCCGGAAGGAAGCCGATCGTGTGACAGGCTTCCTTTTAGAGTTGATTGCTCTAATTAACTGTTTTATATTACCTACGATATAATATAACGTTACATACATACAATATTGAAAGCTATATTATAATAATGTATGATAAAAACAAGTAAAGTTTTCAAAAATAAAACATTTAGTAGAAAGCGTACTTTTGGCAATTTTTTTATTCAGTTTTACGTCACGTTAAAAAATGTTCAATAACTCGTATTTAAAGCTTCTTTTTGCGTTCGTAAAAATATAAATATTCACCTTTACCTATTTGTGTATTAAAAAACACTGCTTACACGTGTCGTTAACATTAAAACTGCATGAACGACCATGAACGCTACTGTAAAACAATCTTTAATGCAAGTGTAATGATTACTGTCGCTAAGCTGCACTTAAATATAAACATTTACCTACATACATAGTTGCGTGTAATAGGGCTTCCAATATCTCGCTGAAATCAATTGCAAATGATGCACGTGGCCGCGTTATTATTTGGAATCGGTACAGCCCTGCTTGACCGTGTCTACTTGCGTTATTTATTATTTCAATAACATCTCAGTATTATGCAATTAGCTAATGAACTACATAACCTAATATCTAGTACCTAATCATTTTCTTTATCTGTTGTAATTGTTTATAATGATTTTGCTGTCTGTGCACTATCATTTGTAATTTACTTTCGGTCGGCATTGATGGAACGCAAAATATTGTAAATAAGAGTATAAATCACACCTGAGATATTTTTAAACTCTTGATACTATACAAAGTGTCTTATCTGCCAGATAAAGCGGCGTTCAAAAAAAACTGGTGCAGCTTGCAAGGTGTGTTGTTTATTTGTAAAAAAAACTACCAGGTGATGAGTTCATTACACCTCGCTATTATTTTGTTTTTGAACGCGACCACGCTGTGCTGGGCTTGGAATGGTGTCTTAAAAAACGATGGAACACCTGGTTTAAAATTCATTAGGAACCTATGTTTAATGCATTTTTATGAGTGATCATAGATTTGTATTGTAGTCTTTCACACAGTCAGTTTTTGTCATCAGGGTTGAAGAGAAAATTCTACGTGTTTTACGTTTAAAAATATGAGTACTTAAATCGTTTTAAATTTATTTCTTCATAATATTATTGACGAATATCCCGGTGTCGTACCTTCATATTGAATTTAGCGTAGTAATTTTCTCCCATAGGAGTGCATGTAAGGAATACATAAAGAAAGAAAAGCATAATTTGTATTCTCGGTAATCGAGTGCGTATCGGAATTATTTCAGATTTGAATAATAAACTACGTTAAGTGCATAGTAGCACGAGGCCCTCGCGGCCGCGCACTGCAGAGTACAAAGATGACGGCAGGAGCCGGGGAAGCGGGGGGCGCCACATCCACACGAACGTAGCACGATTGTTCCGTCTACCAAGCGGAGGACGTAGTCAATGCCTCGCTTGCGTCAAGCGTTGTTTGTTAACTAGTTTAGTCTGCAACGCGCCGTCGACGAGATCGGTCGTGTTCGCGCGCGCATTAGATTCAATTTAGTAATATTTTTGTTGTATAGTAAATATTTTGTTGCATTCCTCTCTAATTTATACTAGTGCTTAGACTATAAATAATTTTATGAGCTGTGATCTTCTTTGGAACAATTTGGACTGGTATAAAACGCAGTGAAATTATATTGTATGCGACGGTTAGAAATGAGTGGATTGACCATAAGAGTAAAAAGGGGATCGAGGGGCAGTGCTACACTTCTGGAAGCTGCTAACAGAATTCTGAAACTACTCGGTGTCAGTTCGACGAAACGCGGGAAACAGTCCATGCCTAAATCGAAGGTAAGGTCAACGGCACGACATCGCGCATCCTTTTAAGTGGGGTACACCGTACACCTCAAGGGTACATATTTAGTTCAGTCATTTTGAAGTTAAAAATATATTTCTTATATTTTTTTGCGCTTCGCTTCGCGGTACAAGCATTGGATATAACTATTTTCTATAAAATAATATTTATATCAGCACAAATGTAGCAATAAAATATGAGGGTATTTTCTTAGGAAAAGTAGACTTTTTTAAATCCCCAATCGATTAATAACATGATCCCGAAGAATATTTGTAAAAAATGATAACATAACGTGAGGAATTTGATAATTATCATAAGAGCAACTTTCCCTTTATAGCAGTGCGTATATTAAGGGAACTTTCGCCCGTTTTCATGCCCGTAGTAGACAGTGATGCGCTCAGCGTGCCGCGTACGTTGCTTATGATGCAAACAGTGATGGCGGGCGCGGCGCGGCACTGTCAACATGGCATCGCACTTGTTTTTTCACGCACCGACGGCGTGACCAACTTGTTTACTACAATAATTATTCAGACTCACATTCATCGTGCATTCATATAATATCATACATCCTATTAGTATCAATTCATACAGATTTAACATGTTTCTCTTATCACTAGTAATCGATATTTATTTAATATTGGCGGGCAATTTTCCAAAATAATAATGTGGTGTATTCATTTATAATTGATGATTAGATACTAAATATAAATTTATGTGGCATTGGTAATTTTATTTTTATTATTATACATATATGTATATAATTTATTCATATTATTCATATTTAATAGATGAAAAACCTAAGTTTCGAATTATTTCTTCTATTTGTTCATCGGAAAAAATATATTTGTAAAGCCTGCATTTAATGTCATATGTTTGTTATATTAGGGTAATAAAATCATATAAAAACCAAACTTTAAATTTTACACAATAGTAAAAAAGCGGATGTGTAATTGTAATGAGAAATACCGAAATGATAAATTCTCATGGCGCATGCGCATTTACCATTACCACCATTAATGACTTGAATGGCTGGGATTGAGGTCGGTAGTCGGTACTCTGTAGTCTCTGTACGGCGTAGGCGAGCAAAGGCACTGGGACCTAATTCTGGTAGTTCACGAAACAGTGACACCCTAGTGGGTCACAACTGACATGCTATTGAAACGACAATAAAGTAAAAGATCCAACTTAAAAGCAAAAAAGCCTGTGTGATGAAAGTGATTGCCCATTGCGTTAATAGAAGACCCAATGATACAAGGCATTGACGATCTCACTCTCATATCTGGCTAGAGAAATACCTAGCGAGAGGCCATTGACAGGCCAGTTTAAATCGCAGAATCAGGGCCCTGGAATGCGTTGCGATGAGAATGCGCTCAAAGTACCGTTCACTGCCGCCGTCACTACGGAATGTAAGGCTAGGTACTTCCTTCTACTTGAGTTATTTAAAGTGACTCATGCAGCATTGCTTGCTGCATATTTGTTACTTTGACTCTGTTTCTACTTATTTCTGTACACTTTACATTTACCACTTACCAATACGTATTGAATTTAAGAATAGTAAATAAACAAGTAGAATACAAAATGTATTGACTCTTTTTTTATATTTAATAACGATTTTATATTCTTCTGATCATAATTTACCACTGTGAACTTTATGGGCTAGTTTTGCCAAAGCAAAAAAGCAATACATTAGCAGTAATCAAGGTCAAGTTTTATAACTGTACATTTTTTGTTACAGACTAACGGACGAGCCGCCAGTGAGGTACGGGCACCTATAGCCACAACGGAGTCTTTAGTCGAATCGCCAACCAAAATGCAAGCGTCACAGGCGGCAGCTACTCCTGTCTTAACACCCACGTCTACACATGGCTCCAACCAATCTCATAGGCATACCAAGAGAACTGCCAAAGATTATATATTTGGAAAACTTATCGGCGAAGGCTGCTATAGTACAGTATTTTTAGCAAAAGATATTCATACAGGGAAAGAATATGCAAGTAAGTTACTAATATTCTATTCTATTATAAGGGAGTTTATTTTATTAGCTTAAGTTACTTTCAATTAGTTTTTCTACACCATTAGTTATTGGAAAAAACATAATAGTGATAACTTTATTCTTTTTATAATACACTTTTAATATTACAATTTCCTTTAATACTTTAGTAGTAACACATTTTTATTTCTTTTCAGTTAAAGTGTGTGAAAAGAGCTACATAGTCCGCCATCAAAAAGTACAATATATTAAGAGGGAGAAAGATGCTTTAAACAAGCTTTTCAATGTACCACATGGTTTCGTTAAACTGTACTGCACTTTCCAAGATGACGAAAGACTGTACTTCGTATTATCTTATGCGAAAAATGGAGAACTCCTACATCATATTAATAAAGTTGGTTCGTTTCAATTGAACGTAGCGAAATTCTATGCCGCTGAATTGTTGCTAGCCTTAGAAAAGATGCACGCTAACAAGATCATTCACCGCGACTTAAAACCGGAAAATATATTATTAGACGAAAATATGCATCTGCAAATAGCTGATTTTGGTACTGTTAAGATTCTCGAGTCTGATTTTAAACGTGGATCCTCCCAAAACACAACTGATAAGGTAGAAGAATTGAAAGAAAAGTCCGATGAGACAAATGACCGTTCGAGAAAAAATAGTTTCGTTGGCACCGCACAATACGTAAGCCCGGATATTTTACAAACGCGGATAGACACACCCGCTTCGGACTTGTGGGCTTTGGGCTGCATCATTTACCAAATGATTTCGGGCTTGCCGCCGTTCAGAGCCTCGACTGAGTTTCTCACATTTCAAAAGATTATGAAAATGGAGTACGAGTTCCCTGAAGGATTCCCTAGTGACGCTAAGGACTTAGTTGAGAAACTATTACTTTTGGACCACACAAAACGTCTCGGAGCTAATGATATCGGGGACACTTACGAAAGTATTCGCAAACATCCGTTCTTTGACGGTATCGACTGGGATGATATATGGAATCAGACACCACCCACTATCTGTCCATATTTACCAGGTTGCTCGTTTGAAGAAGAATATACAGTACCAGACCATTTAGAGCCAGGATTAGGCAAAGACCAACTAGTTCGATTGTGGGAAATTGATCTGTCTACTTCAAGAGGTATTTTTTTTACATACACTGTCTACTGTACTGCATATTCAATCTAATAGCTTTTTATATGATTATAATGGTATAGAAATATAATAATTTTAAATAGTTTCAGGTATCTTAAACATCAGCCCAGAAGAAAGACGACGCCGCCTTGAAGTTCAAACTCGTGAGAATAAATGGCACCAGTTTGTCGATGGTGAATTGATTTTGAAGCAAGGGTTGGTTGAGAAGAGAAAAGGTCTATTTGCGAGGCGTCGAATGCTACTATTAACAACGGGGCCACGTCTCTTCTACGTGGACCCTGTGAATATGGTTCTCAAAGGGGAAATTCCTTGGTCACCAGATCTACGCGTGGAGGCTAAGAACTTTAGAATATTTTTAGTACACACAGTAAGTATTTTATATTCAATTGTGATTACGTATATATGCTGTCTAGTACTTAGCTTTTTGAACTAGTTTTATGCGATGTTACCATCATTTATATCTGAGATTTACATTCTACTGCCTTAATCAATTCAATGAAGACTTTTTCTTATGTATCCCTAACATTAATTTACTAAAAAATAAAAACAAATTATTTTATTATAGAAATATAATTATCTGGTAGGATAGTTATCTGTTTCAATGTAAAAACAAAGCATTCATAAAAATTTTGTTTGTTACAGCCAAACCGAACCTATTACTTAGAAGATCCAGAAGCATACGCGTTGGAGTGGAGACGAGTGATCGACGAAGTGCGTATCGGCACCTATGGACGGGACACGACTTAAAGAACGGTGCGTGGCTTGCCTCGAGTCGCATCCGGGCCGGGCCGCGCGCCCGCTCCCTCTGGCTCTCCGCCCGGCGCCTGCACACTTCTAGGATAATACTCGCTTATCGCAACGGCAACTGACTACACGACGACCTGACAGCGGTAATCCTTTGAGTTTGCAACGGCCACGGCCGAGACGCGCCGAAACAGCGGGCGCCGCCAAACAATGATATGTTCCTAAGCGCACGGTTACTCGCCCGCGACGGAGCTTCCGTGCGAGGAAGAGGACACGAGAACACGAGACATGCAATACCAATGAGTGTCGATGCTTAATGACTGATTCCTATTAGTGATCCTGACTTACTATAACACCTATTTTATGTTTCTTATTTAATAGCAGCAGTGATATGTAAATACTTGTCGTAAATTATTGCAATTGTTTAGTTTTAATTACGGTTCGGCCGAAACCCAGGCCTCTTGTAAGAATGGACTTGTTATTCGCCACCTGCGTGTTCACGAATCCCATTCCTGTTGGTAACTAGGTAATTTTGTAGCTAAATTATAATTATTTATTTATTTAATTGTTTGCCAACGGAATGTGACTATTGTACAGTAAATATAATGTAGGTAATTGGTTGATTTCTTAATTATATGTTGTATATGACTAGCTATAAGTTAGTTGTGACCGCAACTCGATTGAGAGGGAAATCGACCAAAAGAATGAAGGATTCTTAGATATAATTATCAAACTGGACAAAAGAGATGAGACTGATAGCATTAATATTTTCATTCGGGTGGTCTCTGCTTTTGTCTGGTTTCGCAGATTTTTTTTTCTATTAAAATAATTACCCTTGTTGAGATTCTGTACGTTTGACATACAAATTAAATGCAAGTGTAGCAACACCTGATTCTGGCTAAAGCGTACGTCACCAAAGGCAAAAGTGTGTCGGATTACCATAACTATAATTTATTCATATTATTTATGATTATAGATAATTCAGAATTTGTATTGTATTGAGTTAATATTGGATATTAAATTCAATGTCATGGCATTTGTAATTATATTAGTAGTATATTTAATATGCTTGATTTTTAAACAAAATGATGCCTAAGCTTGCCGGGGGTTATAAGTGGGTCTTTTTAATTTCAATTAGATCCTAGGTTCAATTTAAATATAAGGAACTTTAGAAATGATAATAGACCATTGTATTGATTCTTAACAGTTTTTCTATCATTTTGGAACTTATTGGAAACTTCCATGGCATTGTTACTATAAATCTGCATTTAAACATAAATTGCGATGTAAACAAGTTAAGATACTAGTTATTATTTGAAATAACGCGTATTGCATAAATTCCAAGAAACAAAATATAATAAGCAAATGAGAATAAAGTTGATTTTGGAAATAGAATTGTTTTTGTTATTAAGTTCCTGCACTCCCATACATACATTCTAGCAGTCAAGTAGTTTGTCAAATATTCCACGCAAGTAATATCCCTATTAAATAATTATAAATTTACAATAAAGCACTTACTTTTCTACCTTTTGACTCAATACACTGCTTAGGTACCTAGTTAGTTTTTTTTATATTTCGACGTCATTGTATTATTTCGCTAAATTTATAATGGGTTTAACAATAGATATACTCCACTGCTCCCTGGACGTACTCATAAAGTTACCTTTTAATCTAATATGTATCATATAATCATATTATTATGATTAAAAGGTAACATATGATATATATTAGTATTTATTGTATGATACATAATTACATATTAGCATTTTTTTTTTAAATATATAAAATTATTATATTATTTTAATGTATTTGTAATTTTTTTTCTATCGCATTTGGGATTAACCTGTGAAGGTAGAATAAGTTTTATAAATAAATAAATGTTTTATCCATTTATACCCACTAATACTATAAATCTGAAAAAAAAATACAACTAATAACATGAATACCTGCAAGGGCTATACCAAACTGTAAACTTTACAGTAGGGGACCCCATTTTTGAGTTACTAGATTATTACTTATCAGTTATCACATACTATGGAATAATCGGTTGCATATATTTTAACGTTGCGCACTATTCCTATAATACATACCTATAGTATATAATTATTAATAAAAGTATGTATATTTCCTTCAATTATTTTTCTTTTTCAATAGAGCGGTAATTTGCGTCTTGTCGATAATTTCCTATATATAATAAACTACAGTATTGTCGTTTACTATATATATAGAAACGAAAAAATAACTAATATTATAATAGTTACATATTTCGTATCTTTCCCTTAATGCTCGAAGTTGTGTATGCACTATGCAGTATGGTTGCTATTTATGGTTACTAAGAATAGAAAAATATTGCCATGTTATCTGTGGTGTGGTGTGTATTTGGGACGGTATCTGTCATTGCCAGTATGCTGACAGAGTCAAATTTAAAGGGCAATTATCAAATGTCAAAGACTAAAACAAAAATCTAACCTAATTTAATAACATTTATCTATCATCAAATCGACCTTAAATACAAATATACAATACGAAAATAATAGCAAAAATAATGACAACAAAGGTTGTTAAGTATGTAGGACGTACAACAGATTTCAAAGGGAAGACCTTATGGGAAATCGTTGGTAGTTTAAAAAACTTTGGGGTAGGGAGGCTTATTACTCGCCAAGTATTCCAGCGATATCCCGAACCCACTTTTATGAAAATTGTTAAAGTGGAAACTTGTCCAGATGAGGTAAGCTTAGACAAGCAGAATATCGTCATGTGACCTAAAAATAGAAAAGTTATCGTTAAATTTAAATGTGGTAGAGTATTGTATATCAAAATAGCTAATTGATACAATAAATCTATTCTGGACGCATGTTCATCATTATTATATATTTATAAATAAACTATTATTTTGTAAATTTATATAAGCTCTTATAAAAGAACATAACTCTTATTTACGTAAGAATTACATTTGCTTTTGTAATTTTTCAGGAGAGAAGAAGAGTGCGTGTGTGGGTGGAAAAAACATTTCGTGGCCGGAAGCTTCCACAGTTAACAGAAATTTACCGCACATCTTATAAACCAGATTATCAGCTAGTACATAAAGATGAGGAAGAAAAATTGCTGCAAGCTGCTGCTACTGTTAAGCACAAGTCTGACATCCTTCCAAATTCAATAGAAATGCCACCACTTATGAAGAGATTTATAATGAGAGATCATGAAAAAAAGGGAGTACAGGTATTTTACCCTTCAAAAGGATTACTACAAATATAAAAGTACGACTGTCCCTGTTGTAGCCCCTGATTTTTAATGAGTTTGGTACAACATTGATTTTGATACACTGGAAAAACATAATCTAAACCATTATATTGGTTATGAATGTTAGGAATTGGTTTAATTAACATGCTTTATTCCCATAAAAAAACCAATAGATTTTGATGGATTCTTTGGTGTCAATGTAGCAATGTATGGCTAATAATCAACGGGTCATGCTTTCGATCCCCTCCAGTACCAAAATTTTTCTATAAAATATATGTTTTTGAAACATATTGGCCTTCTGGAAATTTGGATATTAAATAGGTGGTATAATACCAATATTCCATTTGGGTTTGTTCACAGATGATAAAGCCATCAAGTGTACGTCTGCGGATTTCTGAACATTTAAGTCAAAATATTTTGACAATGCATCTTGATAAGATGTTATATGGCTGTGTGACCCCATGCTTGTGTCTTAAATAGAAACTTAATTTGGAGCATCTTGGATATTTAAAACATTTTTAATATGTAAGTCATTGAATGGTTTGTAGAAAAAATTACTCCAAAATACTTTTGTTTCAGCCTATGAAGGAGTACGTTATGCCACTTAGCTACAAGCATTCTCCAAATAGAGTGGAGAGAATAGCAGAAGGCGATGAGAAGCCTACAATTGAGTTTACTATGGGTTTAGGTACACCTGTAAGCCCAACTTTATATGAGGGCATTCCGTTACAGTAGAATCAGAGTGAAGAATATGCCAGTATATAGCTTATTGAAAATAACAAAAGACTGCTTAAATATTAGCTTCAATAAATGTGCAGTCATAATCTATGTACAAGACCACCCTTATATACTACTTAAACATAGAAAGTCATAGTTTATGGGTCAGGGCCAGGGTCATATGAAAGTTCTTCAAAGATTTAATATGTTCTTAGCCTCAAAACATGTATATAGATAAAGTTAGATGAATAAAATAATTATAATAACACACAAACTTTAGTTTAATTTTTGTGAAAGGTCTGCAATGATGCAAACTTCTTGGCCAAAAATGGATTTGTGTCCATGTCTGGTAAATTTGGTTCCATGTCCAATTTCTGAAATACATATTGTCATAATAGAAATACCTACAGAATCATTCAATGATAAGTTTAAATATTTATTAATTTAAGACACCTTTTTATGCACACTGAAATTTATATACAATTATAATGTCATTGCTTTGTAATCGAGTTAATATTATTGAAAAATGTTTGGCAATGGTTACATACCTCAGCCTATATAGCAACAGCGTATTGGTGAGGATTCAAGTCCCGCCAGATTTTTTCGATTGAACAAAATCTTTATAATTCTATAATATAATATATGTTGCATAATGTTGGAAATATATTTTTTTCACTTACTCTCCAGAAATCGCGCATCTCTTGTACCTCCTCTTCCCTTTGTACAAAGTATTGACGAACAGTTTTCTGTATAAGAGTCGCTGCGTATTCTTCAGGCCATAACCACGATTTTGGGTAATATGGACGTGGGCTGGACAATTAAGAAACGTATTCAAGATATCCGAATTTTGCATGGGTGTGTGAATTGTAATTTCGTTATGTATATGTTACCTTATATTAATAAAAAGATAAGTAATAAAAAGTATTTTAGAAATAAACGTAGAAACAGGCTGACGTATGTGAACCCACGAGCCGTAGTTGTAATAACAACGTATCATGTCTAGTCATACGCATCGATTTTGTTATATAATAATTTTTTAATTGCTATAGTCTTTTGTATGCATTAATGTCGACAATATTAAAATAATCAAATCAGCTTAAGTGAATAACACTTACTTCCGTAGGAGGCGGTCCCGTACCCAAGGCATGTTGAATAAATGCAAATTTCGACACTGGCGATTCGGATATCTTGGATTATTATTCCATAAGTACTTAAAAATATAATATGATTACAAATTTTCAATAACGAAGGTTAATACAAGATTGAAAAATAATTCAAAAGCTAACTTGCACTATGTGATCTATCCCATTGAAGAAACATTTCTGTATCCTTAGAGCCTCCCATACTTTTGCTTTATTTAAAGTTTCTTCTAGAGCCGGTATCAGGTAAAGAAAGACTCGATTTTGTATGTAATCTGTTTCGGTCCCTAAAGCAAAGGTTAACTCAAAATTATCCTATAATTACATACATCACGTTAGAGAATAAAAGTATACATGTTTATGGCCTATATCTAAGTCTAAACTGACAAGCCAGACAAAACAAGATTCTGGGAAATCAATGTCGTTATTTCTCGGTAAATTTGTGTTATTAAATAAAATACATTACTAACTGAGAAAGGGCTGTTGTATGGCAGGTTCTTTTTTACTCTCCCTATTCTCTTCAATTTCTTTGAGCTCCTTTTCTCTCTGCTCCACAATAAGGTCCCAATTTGCCCTATTAACCCGTTTAATGAGTACAGGAAACTCTACTTCAGAGCAGGGAAGCGAGTCAGGTAAGGTAAAAGTTGCTACGTTATCACTGGCTTCGCTTATAGCGCCCTTATCCTTAGTTTTCTTCCGGTCTGTTGTTTTTCCCGCCATTAGTAGTGTTGTCACAGCAATAACAAATAAATCGATTATGGATTTTCTCGACTGCCTATTCTTAAATTATATAATCATATCAGTTTTCAGTAAGAAAGTCAATATTTGAGTTTTTATTTGATGAAATGAAACAGCCAGATTAAAATTATTATATCGCCTCTTTGCTGTGTTGTCAATAACGGCGACATCTAGTTAGGAAATTAAAAAGCTATACAATTTTCATACCGCACAAACTAGTAGAGGGCTTGTGCGTTACTTTTCTTTACAAAACGTATCTTTCATATTATTTTTGATTTCAAGTGGGATATTGTGATATATGCTATATATTGGTGATAAAAAACAATTTAACTATAAAATGATTTTATTAAAAATATTTATTACATTAAACTGCACATGCATTTACTTACATCTCTGGACATTACCGTCCAAAGAAAAATAAATTAAGTTTATAAATTAAATTATTAAATTACATATCAATTCGAATTAGAGGAGCCATAACTAAGTGGGGGTTGACTCAGTATTGTGAAAATTTTCCAGTTATTTGTGAGATCCAGTCTAAGTAATGAGCAACTTTTACATAGACACCCGGAACGCCGGGTTGGCCGCAACCAATACCCCACGACACCACACCGACTAACTGCCAGGTGCCTCCGCGTTCACAGACTAGAGGGCCACCACCGTCTCCCTTGCAGGCGTCCTTTCCTTCTTCTCCTCCAGCACAAACAAATCCAGGATTCAACTCGTAGTTGTACCCTAATCTAGTTTGTCTTAATTGTTGTTGACAAAGTCCATGAGGAAGAATCGGAACATCGACTTCTTTGAGAATATTTTGGTATTTTCCATTCGTCCCGAAGGCATCTTTACCCCAACCGGTTGTCCAGCAGCGTTGACCTGAGAAGTCGGTGTATTTATCTGGCAAGCAGGCTGGGCTGATATGCGGATATTTCGTCCATTCCACGGGATGATCTAATTTCAAGATAGCCAAGTCGTTGTCCAAAGTACCCGCGTAGTACAGGGGGTGTACATGAACAGAGATAACATCTCGTTCAATGTAAGGGTAAAATTCCACGTCGTGGTTCACATCCCATTCTCCTAACCTTACACGAAGATCAAATCCTTTGTATCTGAAAAAAAATAATTTATTTAATTAGTTACTGACAATTAGAATTATAGAAAAAGGTAACCACACTCAATAAAAACTATACTTACGATTTAATACAGTGAGCGGCAGTTACAATGTGGAGCCCATCGATAAGTGTACCTCCACAAACATATACTGATTCTTTGGGGTCCTTCTTAAGAATGGCTGCCTGCCAGGGGTATTCACCGAATTCACTGTCTCCATCTACGTATGCAGGTGTCTTAATCCTGCCGTTAATTCCCTGCGAGTGACGAATTCCACATTGGCCACGGTTGGATGCTTGAGGTCGCAGAGGTCGCCGACAGCAAACTTGGTTCTGACCACATTGTTGAATTTGATTGTGACCAAAGTATCCTTGACGCTGGAAGAAAAAACGGTTTTATTAATACTAGGTACATTTCTTTCTAAATACTTTTTAATTTTGATTGAGGACTGTACCTCTTTGATAGGTTCGGATTTGTTTTCTTTATTTATATCTCTCTTCTTGCGACTTTCAGGAAACCGGATTGTTTTCACTCCCCGGCTTGCCCCTTCGGGGTTGGATGGAATTTTAAGGGAGCGGGAATATGCGTAACGATTGGCGTAGTTATTATTATCGCTATTTATAAATTGAGTATTGTTAGCGGACCTTTCATAACCGTAATTACCATGATTATATACCAAGTCGTTGTCATCGTGACTGATACCGTCATCATCGTAATAATCGTCATCTCCTGAAGGGACACTAGGTGCATTGTACGGGCTCACACGATAGTGACTAGGATATTGCGAAAAATGGGGCGAATATATAGGAGGTTGAGCATAATGTGAATCATAATGTGGAGGATAGTGATGGGGTTGGTGCGGATACGGAATATGATTGTAATTATTATGGGGATTATAGTGATGGTAATGTTCATGTTTGTTGAGAAGATATAGTTTCTTCTCGTGAAATAGGTGACCAAGTTTATTCACAACGTGCTCGTTGGGGGTGACGTGTAAATTAACAAATGGTTTTACGATTTTTTCTCCATAATCATTTTTTGTCACTTGCACGGCTAATAGCGGATTTACTGAGAGTAATCCTAAATTAATTCCACCTGTGTTTAATGCTGGTCCGTATGGATTTTGTAAAGGGTTTGAATTATAAGGATTGATAGGATAACCGTGGGAAGGCTGGGGCAAACCAAACGAGACACCGAACGTCGGCTGCACTTGTTTGTTGTTATTACCACCATTGCCGCCATAACCAGCGTGTCCGAGGAAGCGCTGTAGCAACAATGACTCAGATAAAATTTACCGAGTTAAAATGTTCAGGTTTTAAATAATTTCAGGATAATTTTAGAGTAAATTTTATCGTTTTATTTTGTAATGATGGTTACCCCAGTCTTCACCTTATGTAAAGTATTATGGAATGTTTGATTATGGATGGTGTTATGGATGGGAATTGTGATGTTTAAAATGACTATGTTTTACTAATGAATTATTAGTTAGGTTCAAACACTTACCGGTTCAATTTCTTTTGCCGGTTCCTCAGCTTTCTCTGATTTGGCTTCCCTTTTGGTTATGCTTTTGACTTCAGTGGAATTAGATGCAGCCTTTGAAGCATCAAGTCCAGTTGCATTTGCTATAATTTCTTCTTGTTCTTCAGTTAGAGCTAGGATTTCACTGCCTTTATTACGAGGGTCAATTGGAAGATAAAGGTCGTCTCGGCGACCGATTACCTCTTGACTTGGGCATTGATCATAATTTACACAAACGCACTCGAAACCCTGAGCTTTGCCGTGGTAGTTCTCTTGATATAAGTTATTCTGTCCCAATCCTAATCCTTGGCTGTTTGACCCGACGTGTAATTCCTTTTTGTAAAATTCGGAATTTTGTGAAGCATAAGATCCTAAAGAGTTTCCATATTTCTGGTCATCAAATTCATTATTTGCATATTGGTTAGGAAGTCCCTGTGTTTGAATGTTTGCGTTCTCTCTGTTGTATACGCCATTGTGTCCATATTGAGAACCGTAAATGGTTTCACTTTCATACACCGGTTTTGTTTGTTGAAAAGCTCCTGTCATAGGTTTGAATCCACCAGAGTTGAAGGAGTTGAAATCGGAACCGGATGCTGTAATAATACCCGAAGATTCTTGGTTGTGGATTGAGCCAAGATGTCCAACTGATCCTACTGGAATGGCCACTGGTTTTATGATTACTTTTGGGTCTTTTTCGGCATCACTGTGGACGTAGTGATGGTGAACGTGTTGCTGAACAATTGATTCAGTTTTTGTGTTTGATTGCTGAGACGGTATTTTGTTGTAAACTGGTTTAGGACTTTCGTATGAGTAGGGACTTTCGTTGCCAAAACTAGGCGGTTTTGTGACAAAGTTGAAATCGTTTCCATATCCGCCACTGCTTTGAGAGTATTGGAATGCATTACTAGCAGTGCCATATTTTTCAGAGAATCCGGGTCGGCTTCCTCCGTAGCCCGGTCTGCGGGGTGGAATTTTCTGCAGTCGTGGTGGGTACGGCATTGGCTTAGGAGGACCGTAAGCTCTTGGTGGACCGCGAATTGGGATTGATGCTACAGGTTTTCCAATTGGCTTTATATCGACTGGTTGGGCATATATAAGTTCATCTGGAGATACATAAGTTCGCTTTTCTTGGGTGTCTTCATCTTCGCACTGAAAATATTTTTAGTTAAATTAAATAACTGTTAAACTACAGACTATACATTATTGGACTTGTATTATTTTTTTATTTAGATATTTAACTTTGTATATTATGGTTACTTACTTGTATCAGACCGAGTGTACAAAGTCTTCCTTTGATTAAGTTCCTTGCTTCAGTATCGTCACCTGCGTCCAATGCTTCCTTTATCGTGGGATCGCTGTAAACATCGTCGAAACCGCTCAAACTTCTACCTTGCTTGCTACTAACAAGTTCGTCAACAATATCATCAAGCACGTTCCCGTCAGAATTGGCATTTTTATCTTCAGCTTTGCTTATCTCTTCTCCTTGCAAGAGCTCCGTTGTTTTAGTCTTGGCCTCTTCGTTAGCATTAGATTTGTCATCATTCCACGACCAATCCGCGTTTGTACTCGCTATACTTAATATAAGAACGCCAAATATAGTAGTCCACCGCATCGTCTGTAATAGAAAATGTAAGCTTGATTTAAACATGTGATATTGAACATGAGCAAGAAGTGTATAATGACGAAACTGGTGGAGGATCACTTTTACTTTCGCGGACAACGATTATATAAGCTTCCATAACGTCAATCCGTTGCGTTGGGTAGAGCGAGACGTTGTGATACGAAAGCATCTATACTTGAGACGATCATGTCTTATTATGCGTGCAGGCACACATACATAAAGAGATTTCAAACTCATATAGTAAGCATACATGTATTTAACGTAGAAATGTAAATGCATAAACAAACAAAAACAAAGTGTGTCTACAAGTGATATAATTCTTTATTCTAGGCTGTCTTAGTTTTTTTTTTGTTGTGAAAGAAAGCCTTAACGGTGTCAATGTCACCAGAAACCGGTACATGCCCCCCATTGGTAAGAGTATCACGTCCCAATCCGCCTATGCGTCACAAGTTGCCGTAATCGCTGTGATGTAATTGCGAACTGTCCGTTTTACATAATCCATTGCCTAGTTTGTGTTTACGATCTCATGAACTTTCTTCAGCGCGGCTATTTTTATATGAGTGTGTTTTTGTGTCTGCTGTCTTTTATCACATACTAAGAGTCGACGCAAAATGTATCCCGTGAATCGTTGAAAACGATAGAGCCGTTTATATAGAGCATTTAAAAAAAGAGAAATTTGCTGCCGCGGTCTTTAACCTTAGATTTCAAATTTAACTAAAACAACCTTTCAAACTTGTTTTTGATCGGATTGTTTTACCATCGATAATTTTAATAATAGGGCTTTCAAACAAATATAACTTTTTTTGCATAGTTAATTTTGTGTTGTAAGAAGATAAACGCGTCACTAATGGGAACTGCTTTCGAGGGAAAAGAATGAGAGTCCATTGTGTTAGCTGATCTTAGATACATCGTATCCTGCTATTGTTGTGCATACCGTTTTACAAAGTTGAAAGTGAAAGCACTTGTACGATAATTACTAAAAAGTTGAGACGTTAATTTAAATACAATTGTAGGAAATTTTAAAACTATACGTGTAATATCGTCTTCACTTTCAAAATTGCATTGGAGTCTTTATAAATCACTATGTTCCAAATTTTAAATTATATTATTAAAATATTCACACGCACTGTAACTTACTTGTTATTATACTGTAAAACTTTCCTTTATAACACTTAACAGTTGTTTTCTTAGTTCACAACTTCACTGTTGCTTAGTTTGCGTTCGAATGTCTGCTTCATCTACCACCACAGCACTTTATACTTCGACCAACGCAAAGATGCACGCGCTCCGATTTTGTAAGATGATCGACTCAGACCTCTACCACTATTCACAAACCAGTGACTAAATGCGACTGTATCTTTGAAAATAGCGACTTTTAGAGCGATTTCGAATCGGTTATTTCGCGATTGCGGTGTGCTTGGTACAGGGATTGACGTATGTCATTGATCAACCCTTTGCTTCATTCATAAGTTCCGACTAGAGATTTGGCAATAGGGATATCCATAAAGGTCAAGGCGATGGAACTATTTGGTTCATGATATTTCTTTCTGAGAAACCATATACATGTTTTTATAGCAGAATTATCATATTTATTTATTTTTGTAGTTTCGTAATCATAAAAACTTGATAGTAAATATTTGATCATTTTCAGCGTCAAAATAAATGAATTCTGCATTGGTAGCATATGCAATTTCTATAAGAAAGTTAGACACAAGGTTATAAAATACAAATATAATTTGTTCGGTACCGTCGAACAGATAAATTTAATATATTCATGAAACAGTCATAAATACAGCCTGTGGGGTTCAATTGAGCCATCAAGTGAAGAATTGTTATACACCTATAAGAGTCAGCAGCCATATAACATTTGGATTTGGATATTCGGAAATGACTAAACCGAAACGCGATTGAAATTGACGGCTTTTTCCTCTGCCAACCGTAGTTTTTGAGCCCGGACCGGAATTTCGATATTCCTACCATCCATTTAAGTTCCAAAATAAATTCTCCAGAGATTTCAGAAAAATAACAAATCAATAGAAACATTTTAGACCTGGTAGAGATCGAACAATGGCTACAATTAGACCAACGAGTTCCTCAAAAATAATATTTCTAAGTAGGTACTTCAGAAAACTATTCTGTTACAATATCCATCCTAATATACACATATTGTTACCTAACACAACGCGTGTAATATTATGTCCTGCCTTAATAGGTTATAATTGTCTCAACCTACTTTCTCTTGATAAGCCTGACCAGGTTGAGGACTATTTTTTAGAATATATGAATATGATCTAAATGAAGACACTTTATCAAATAATGTCATGTGATTATGTCACTTGTCATGTGATGACTATCACTCCTTCATTTGATGTAATGCGAACAAAGACAATTGTTTTTATATTGTTTTTTTGTATAAAAAGTAGAACTGTAAATTACCAATATTTTTAGACCTATTACGGGTCACAACCTGTCACTAACTGCATGTCGTGGCGTTGCTTTATATAGATAAAAGATTTTTCCCAACTTTACATGTAGGATGTATATTTTAACCCAGTCCGGGATTATTGTTTTTTTTTCATTCTTATCTGTATATATTTCTATATTTTACCTTCTTATATATGTATAATTTATAAAAGAGTATAAATATTAAATAATACAAAAATATCATTACATTTATACTCTCTATTTTCAACATTTAGCATTCTAATTTTACTCATAAAATTACATCTCATCGTTTATTCAAAGTTGTAGGAAAAGAGTTCAACGCGCGCATCTAATTTCTACATCGCTATTAAAGTACCTAATTGTATAATTTAAACTTGCTGTATGTGTTTGATGAGCTACAATGAGACTATATTATGCAACAAACTTATATTTTTATTATTTACTATTATAAGGTTTTACTTGCGTAAAAACAATATTATCTGTATGACATAAATTCTATGATAAGATCTTACCGGGCACAACATATTTTGCTATAAAATTAGGTTAAATAGTTGTGAAGGTTGAGAGTTAACCAGGATTCATTTTGGCATTACACGCTAGAAGACTTGCACAAGAGGGGCTTTCCAGTGCAACAGAAACCGGACCTGCGCGGGCGCAATACACGCTGCCGATGTTCCTTGCGCAACAGTTCGCTGAACCGTTCCATGACTTCGGCTTGAATACTTATGGTATAAAAAGTTGAGTGTTGTACAATAATAAACATGAGTAATACAGTAATGTGTCAAGGTCGCGCGTGTTTCGCATTAATATCAGGAATGAGACTTAAGAAGTAGTACAGTCGCATTTTTCAGTAAAATTCAATTTGAATAATATTTACTTACCCATGCGAAAACCGTGTTTAAGAGAAATTTTAATATAGATAGGATTACCATGTCAGCTGCGGTTAAAGTTGCTAGAAATCTTTATCCATATGTTTGCTAAGCGTTAAACAAATAAATACGACTAATTAAAGCAATTTATATTAATTCTGAAAATAAACGTAATAATACTTAAGCGTCAATCGCAGGAATGTAACTTAAATAAAATTCAACTGAGAAATTATAAAAAAAATATCATGATTATATTTATTATACGTTTGGTAAACATTAAGATTAAAATGCGATATGTATTAGTTAAACTTATCTGAAAATTATTTAACTACGGTCCGACGTTTCGGATACTGTGCAGCAGCCGTAGTTGCGGGGAGTAATGGAGTTTAAATAATTTTCAAATAAGTTTAACTACTATTTATCGCGTTTTTAACCGTTAAAGCGTTCAATTAAATAAAACTCCATCGTAACCTATGCTGCAATAGTAGTGCATTGGATTGGAAAATATTATACTAGAAAAATAACTTTGAAATTCAACCACATTAGAGTTTAGGAAACAGCAATGTTTTACTTTAGTTACATAAGAAATAATGACAGCTAATAATATCATTTCTTTCCATGCTTTCTGCTTCTATTGATGACGTACAATGCTTGTAATAGAAACAGCGACATACGTAACTTATGAGTTCCCACCAAATTACCTTAAAAGCAATCCGATACTATTAATGGTCATTCTTCTATAGTATTTATTTTTTAATATTTATTTATTAATTACTAACTAGAAAAAAATACTTTTAGTTGCATGGCAATAATAAGGATAGGTACATTAATATTGTTTGTACCTCAAATTTTTATTTAAAACATTTTTAAATGTCTGTAATCTGTATTTTACCGTCATTCGGTGACAATACATGACATCGGGGACATGTTGCTTCAAACTCAGTTTCATCTATTTTCATAAACATTCTTACAATATGCAACAGCATATTAGTAATTTATCTTTAGCTTGTATAACAGTACAAGCTAAAAATAAAATGGATCCAATTTAAGCGCACAATTTGTTATGGTGTTCTAGCCAGGCCATCGACGTTTGGCGATTACGTAACAATCCACTGACCCCACAATAACCACAACATTGCTTGTAAACCGCATTTAGTTTGTCTATTCTTGCTTTAGGGCTTTTTCTTGGCCAATTTGTTATATAAATAAGAAAATCGGTTCACTTGATGATATATACATATAACATCTATATAAGATGCGTGGTCGACCTATTCTGGTTTCTGATATTCGGAAATCCACAGAATAAAAACCGAAACGCAATTAAACTTCACGCCTTTTTTATCTATGGTGGTAATTTGTAACCAGGACGGAATTTTGTTCCACCCATTTGATATCCCGATTTTCAGACAGTCCAACGTCCTGTAATGTCTGTTATATCTTTGCACATTAGTAAAATATCAAGTATAAGAATTATTATTTATAACTTCGAACTAGTTTTTAGTTACATTCATTTTCGAAGAACGAAGGTGTTAGTGTCGCAGTAAGTCGGTATAGGTTGTCTTTTGCGTATTTGAGTCTGTTTTGCTTTAATAATTCTAATGGTTTAAAACGCGATATATTAGTTAAACTTATTTGAAATTGATTTTTAACTTCGGCCCGACGTTTCGGATGCTTTGCTTTTCTGCTTTTTGCTAAAGTTAAAACCGTTAAAGTCTTTTTTTTAAATGTGTACCACTCGCGTAAACTATAGACAGTGTTTAATATTTTTATGGTATGTATTCGGGAAGTACAGATGCATTAAATCATTGTATCTAATAATTAACTGTATTTATGTCCAATATGTTTGTTTACAAGTAAACAAACCCTTTTCTCGCTTTTAATAATCGATAGTTATTCATAGTGTTCTTTTTAATAGCCGAATCTGGAAAATGTTGCAAGTTATATTGGGAGTTTTCCGAACTGCGCCTAAATCTAATTGCAGTCGTTATTACTAACAGTGGAGGTCAACCATTCATAGAACAAAAATGCCTGTGGAGCGGCGTTGCGTTACTTGTTAGTCCATTCTATGTATGTTAGTGCAAGTAAGAGATATATTTTTTATTTATTCATATTAAAACAAATCAATAATAATGCACAACGGATATAATCCTTAAGACTTCTCTGTCGGTGGTAGTGGGTTGACTTAGACTTTGACTTTACCACGCCCTATTTAAATGCCCAAGTTACAGAAAATCATTAACAAACACGTGTTACTCAGTGGGACTTAAACCGCTTAAAAAATTGTTACAATATTTATTCTCCCCGTGACCAAGGCTGCTGCAAAGCATCCGAAACGTCGGGTCGAAGTTAAAAATCATTTTCAAATAAGTTTAACTAATATGTCGCGTTTTAAACCGTTAAAGTGTTTTATTTAAATGTGTACTACTCGCGTAAACTATAGACAGTATTTTGTTACAATACTTTTATTATTTCTAAATAATCTTGCGCCACTACTGTTACTTAGAACATGGTACCTACAATATTATTTATTATCATATTAAGGCAACGACATAGTAGCAGGCGCTTCGCTTATTTGTATTCAAGGCGGCTCGTAGGTTTTTTGTTCCGATTAAATCGATGACCCACTTTGAGCCGATTGTTCAAGCTACGTAACACTGGGTTTCCCTGAGGTTCCTGTCAAGGATTCTATGTGCTCTGGATGCGACGGGTTTTACCGGTGGTTACGTCAAGTCGGGGTTAACACAACCATTTATGGCTATATATGGTCAACTGCAGTGAAATCATACTTATCATAGTGATCATCTTTAGGTGAAGAAGGAATTCAGGGATATAATTTAATTAATTAAGAAAGCATGTGTTAAGGCGCTTCGCTTAATCTGTATATTAATATACTAGCTATCAGCAGGCATCCAAATTTGTTTCTGCATCATCTTTATAAATTATAGGCTGTGACCAACGACATCGGTCTCGTCGTTCTTGCAAGTTAATCTTAAAAGATGGATATATAGTGTCGTGGTAATTCTTTTAGATCATTTAAAGAGAAATCATACTTTTACATAAGTTTGGGTGTCATGAACCGTTTTCGCAGTGTACGTATCGTAACTCCACAGAGATGAAAAATTTACCCCGTTTTGTCCACAATTCCTGCTGTTTGTTGAGATTAACGCGTTCAAACAAACAAACAAACTCTTCAGCTTTGTATATTGGTATAGACGTGACCTTTACGAAGATGTCTGTCCTCTTCTGTAAAAAAAAGATAAAACCAGGTTGACTTATCATGTTTCGGCGCAAGCATTTGTAACTTTAAAGCAAACTTATTCACTTGTATATTAATCGAGTTTTGTTTATAACTCGCGTTAACTCTAAATACAACTCTTTGAGTATTCTATAATTGCGATCTATGTACATATTATTTAAACTTATGAAAGTATATAATGTCAATAATTAAAACACCAACTAAAACAAAAACAATTATATTCTAAAGCGACATCTAGTAGTTTAATTTTATAACAGTTTGCCGCTGCATTGTTTGTGTAAGACGGGTTTTGTTGTAGCAAACGTAGCTTTTTATGGCTGGATAGATATAGGATGGAAAGAACATGAACAATATTGATTTAGTGTTCTAGGCAGCCGCAAGATGGCAGTGTCTGAAATTTAGCTTTTGTCCTGAAAATAAATAAAAAAGTCTGTCTGTCATTGCACTGAATGTGGTATAATAATCTGTAAAATGTACAAATTAGAGAACACATTTTGCTTAAAAATCATATAACTATAAGGAATATAAACTTTATTTCGTTGAAAGAATATTACAGAACATCACAATTAAAATTAAATTTGCATACCCCATTATTTGGTAGACTACATACATCGATTTAACATAAATCAGCGGTATAGATTCAGTTAATGGTGAAGTTTTATTACGGATATACCGAGATAACGCCCTTAAAAACTAGATTTCGAGCAATAATTTACTAAATGTCATGCGGTATCATTATCATACGATTTATTGTAATTATTATATAATTATTATCTAAGGAATTCGTGTCTTTTATATAAAAGAGTTCCGTAGAGGTTATCACTAAAGATTTTTGCAAGAACTTACTAGTATTTTTAATGGATTTCAGTACATTTATTATCAATAACATCGTAAATAGAAATCGTCCATTTTATTTCTCTTGATCTTAGCCAATGTAAAATTTGTAATGGAAATAATGCTTTGTAAAAGCAGGATTAAATTTTGAGATTTTTCTGCAGAACTCTAAAAATCCAACCATCCAAGGACAACAACATCTCCTGTCTGCCTAAATGATTTTGTGAAGATATAACATTAATTAGGTGAGGTATAAATAAAGCGATTGGTCCAAATTATGTTAGTCTTGTGAATATTTTTGTGTAATTTGAAACTTAGCACAGACCTCTCTCAAAATGAGATTCTTGGTGGTGTTAAGCATCTTGTTCGCCGTGAGCGCAGCTGCACCAGCAGAAGTTAGAGACAAAAGGACAATCCTAGTCTCTGAAGCGATTGAACCTACTGTCGTGGTATCCCCCTACTATAATGTGCCTGCTCTGTCTCACCAAGCCCGTGTGGACGCAAAATTTACTCCATTGGTTCAGGCCTATTACACGTCACCACTTGTTGAGTCTGTGCCAGTAGTAGCTGCCCCCAGTGTCGTCCTCAACGCTAAATCTGTGGTTGTGCCAGAAAAGACCTATGTGGGTGGAAGCGCCGTGTCTCAACAGTCTCGTGTCGATGTCAAGTCCTATCCAGCGGTAGTATCTGAACATGTTGTGCCTACTTACGTCCACACTGTACCTGCTGTGGTGGATGCTCGCTCCGTACATTTGACACCAGTGTACCAAGGTGTTTCCGCTGTATCTCAACAATCTCGCGTGGATGTGAAGACCTCTCCAGCTGTTGTCGCTCAACATGTTGTTTCACCAGCTGTTGTTAGTGTGCACTCCGTACCCTCAGTCTACGCCTGGTAATTTTGATGCGATCCTCCAATAGACGAAACATTTATTATAATTGTCGTTTACACTAACAAAAGCTGTGACATTTTAGCTAATTTGTGCACGATCGTATTAAATGTATAAACTTCAATTCTAGACCCAATACGTAACCCAGATCTAATAGAAGCAAAAAATCGTAAAAAGACACGTACATTTGTAAACAGTTATGAATTAAAATATTTGCAAGAAACCTTATTATTTTTTATTCAGTGTGAACATACAACATATGTGTCGCAAATCTCACATGATTTGTATTGTTTAATTAGTGAATAGATTAAAGTAGACCTTACCCACGGCATTCCACGGCAACAGCTGTTTTATCGTGACTGGACGAGAAATTACTATTATTATCACCATGGTCGTGGTGTCGATGCCCGGCTGTGTCAGTCATTTTTAAAATCTTTCCTTCTTAAGAAATACATTGTCTAATAATATGCAAACACATGCATTGAGAATTCAAAACATATCTATATACAAAAAGACGAGTAAAAAAAAAAATATTTTTTTTTTCAAGTAATTAAAACAAGTGTTACTTAAGTATTGCCTTAAGCGAGTAGTAGTAGATTTTAAACGGTTTAAAACGCGAAATATATTACCTAACTCCCACCCGTGACAATGTCTGGAAAATTAATTTAAAATAAGTAATGAAATATTTGTGTTTTAAAGCAAACAAAATTATCGTGAATATACACTTTCAACGGTTAGCACAATACATTAAATTGAATTTCGACGTTTCGATTCATAAATAGTTTGAATTTCGAAAAAGACAAACAATTGAGGAATAAGTAATGTAATTTCATTTAAAAATGCCGTTCAGTGTTTTTTAATTTATTAAATGGTTATTTTGCATGTATATAATCCTGAATAAAAACTAGTTTAGTAGTTACAGAACGAATCTATGTATCTATATAGACACAACTAACTACTAAGTATGTCCTTTGAAGCGTAAGCACAGAGCTTTAATATATGACCTTTAGGCACAAAAATTAATAGCAACTTCGCCTAAGTGCCTATAGAAGCCTATAAAAAGGTAAGTAGAGAACAAGGCCGTTTACTTTCATATGATAGTTTGACATTGCCCTTTCACTGAATGATTAATTTTGTTGTAAAGGAAGTTTAATAATTATGTCGGGTTATCCCCATAATGAGGAAATATTTTGGAGACGTTCGATTTTGTAAACCTCTTAACTATTAATAGTAAAGTATATACTTACCTAATAACTTCAAGTCTTTATGTTTATTCTCCAACATGAATGATGTATAGTTTTATGATGATATCAACGTATTATGGCTTCGAAAGCCATCTTTTAAAGATTGAATCAGACTTAGATACTGCAATACTAATAAGTTATTTATAATATTCCAATACCAGGATTGTCTTTATACTATGACAAAAATAATATTTATTTGATACTACCTGTGCCAGCGACAATATTTATGTTGGGCATCATATTTATTTTTACAAGCAAGCTCCTCAGCTTTCGGTTTCTTGGATCGGTTTCGCGGCGTACGCAACAGAAACCCTCCAACATGAATAATTTTATTTATTATTTATTTATTTATTTATTTACACTTTATTGCACAAAAAAAAAATTAACAAAAATATAAACTTATATACTAAACATATGGAGTGCAATGGGCGGCCTTATCGCTAACGAGCGATCTCTTCCAGGCAACCCAAGATGAAAGAGAAAAAAGTTTTCACCGTTATCACCACATTACGCTTCTATTTATTGCAGCCTTAACGGATAAATGGATCAAACAAACCAAAAAAAATATTTTTCAATTCGAACCAGTAGTTCCCGAGATTACAAACAAACTCTTCAGGTTTATTTTTGTTAATTGTTTAGATTAATAAAATATTGTGTTATTATATGTTATATGTTACACATAATATCGAAAATTGTCATTTTTACAATTATGAAATTTAAAAACTTGCAATTATTTAATAAATATTATCGATAATCGGATTTGGATCCAGGATTTGACAGTGGAACCGTTCTTACTTGTAAAATTGAGCCGAGAAGGAATTGATATTGAGTAAACAAAATAGAACTACAGAAATAATTTCTATCTAAGTATATCTACTAGTATGATGGCCTTACAATAGTTGCAGTGTAGACGGTTGCTAACGAATCGCTACTATATAAATAATATTATAAATGAACATTTAATTTTAAGAACGAAATTAAACATTTCGTAACACCGATTTCGACGACATAATATTTCCTCCAAATATGAACGCCTAGGCGTGTTTTAGAAGGTCAGTTATTTCATTGAAACTTCACTTTGTCCTATCATCACTGAAATCTTTTTAATTACGCACCGCTCGTATAAATACCCTTGAAGCCGAACCGAATTTATCAGTCGGCCGTGCACGGTTTGAAGTGATCTACTTAGTTCGTCAGACAAAACACAGACCACGTTCATTATGCAATCGCTGGTGGTGTTGTTCGCTCTCGCCTCGGTGGCGTGCGCCTCTTACATCCCCCTGGCTCAGCCGGCGCACCACCCCGCCCTGGTGCTGGACCCCCACGGCAGGCCCTTGGACACCGCTGAAGTGATCCACGCCCGGGCAGCCCACCTCCAGGCTAAGGCTCTGGAACCACACGCAGCCGTCGCCGTCGCCCCAGTGGCCGTCGCCCACTCAGTGGTCGCCGCCCCTGTCGCCCACGCCGTGGTCGCCGCTCCCGCCGCCGTCTCGCACCAGTCCCGCGTTGACGTCCGCACCAGTCCCGCTGTCTACGCTCACGCCGCTCCCGTCGTAGCCGCCCACGGTGTCTACGCCGCCCCAGCCTGGGGACACTCCGCTCTCGGATACGCCGGACACGGACACTACTTGGCCAAGCGCTCCCTGGGACACTACGCCTACAGCGCCCCCATCGCCTACCACACCCCCGCCTCCGCCGTCTCTCACCAATCTCGTGTGGATGTTGTCTCTAGCCCCGCCGTAGTGTCGCACGCTGTCGCTCCCGTCGTCTCCCACGCCGTCGCCGCCCCAGTGTACGCACACGCTGCCCCAGTCGCCATCGCCCCCGCCGCCGTGTCGCACCAGTCCCGCGTCGACGTCCGCAGCAGCCCCGCTGTCGTCTCCACCGTCTACGCCGCTGCTCCCGTAGCGCACTCCGCCGTCTACGCCGCTGCTCCCGTGGCGCATTCAGCTGTGTACGCCGCTCCCTTAGCCCACGCTGCCGGCCATTACGCGCACGCCTGGTGATTTAGTGAACTCTGACGAACGCCTAAGATTAATTGTACAATACTCGAATATTTATAAAAAATAAATAAAAAAAATATGTAAATAATACTTTATGTGGTTTATATTTCATTATAATACTTGTAGACCTGTTTCTCACGACAAAAATCTATCGTCAAAAACATTGAAGGAGATTATTAAACAGCATTTATGGGTAAAATTTCAAAACATATTGAACGTATATAATTAATATCTTTCGCGAATAGTATCTGTCGTTTACGCGAGTAGTACACATTTAAGTAAAACACTTTAATAGTTTAAAACACGATATATATCATATATAGCTTATTTCAAAAAAATTGCGCCAGAGACACCCTACACCTTTAGTCTCCCCGTGACCACGGCTGCTGCAAAACATCCGAAATGTCGGGTCGTAGTTAAAAAAAATCAAACAAGTTTAGCTAATATATTTCGTGTTTTAAACCGTTAAAGTGTTTTAGTTAAATATTTTGTGAATTAAATCGCTATGGGTTTTTAATGAAACAACTCAATGAGGTCTTAGAAATATTTCTTCTTTATAACAATTTATTTAAAATTACAAACGTGGCTAGTTTTTTTGGCATATTTATAATTGTGAAACTATTTTCTCTCTATTAAATTTATTTAAATACATGAAAGTCATTATGCTTTTATGGTAACTCAAACGTTAATTATATTTATGATAGCTTAGATTCATGTGTATGCTGTTTAATATTGATTATTAATATCCACTGAACTTATTTTTTTTACTATCAGTTCAGGTTGTAGTGTGTTCAAGTGAGTTTGAGTACTTAAATGTGATATCAAGTTGTTGTTACATTAGTATATTTGCCTCCGCGACTCATAGTTACTTCACTCCACAGAAATTTTGTTAATTGTAGTGGTAAAAATACATAAATTTATCTATTTCATAGCATAAAACAGATTTTAATATAAATTCATCAAAAATACAGCCTATTGTTTTTTTTTAATTTACAAAAAAAATTAATGCCTGGTTAATAATTTATCTTTCTATAGATTTTATTTGTTACAATCAAAAGGGGCAAAGAAGATATTATTGAAGACATTACAAATAATTATACTGTTGTTATTATATTTTTACTTACTAACTTGCTTAAGTTCCAAATAATATCATAAAGATTATTCATTTTAGACGCAATAATAATGTAAAATATCGTTTTCAGACCTATTCATATTTTTATAGTTAATGTGACTCTAATTCAGTCTGACAAACAACTGTCTCATCGCCGGCAACGACAGATATGAATAGATCTAAAAAATATATTAGACCATATGCAAAACATACTTTAACAAGCAACATAGTTACTTTAACAATTAATTATATCCAAAATCCATTAATTAGTAAAAGTAAGTGTGACAAGCTTACAACACTCTACATACGCTTATTAAAATTTATAACCAGATCTTTTGGCGGTTAGAAATCGCCCTGTCATCGGGCATAGAGTGCTTCTGAGTACATAAAATATTTATCATTTGCATGATCTAAAACAAGAAAACAGAAGAAAGGAGACTAGAAACTAAGGTAGATAAAAAAATATAGTAAATAAAAATACTAAAATTAAGTTCAGTGGATATTATGAATAATCAGTTATGAATTAACATAAACATGAATCTAACTTAAATATCAATAACGTTTGAGTTATTCATTGTTTTTGAAGATAGAATTATTTTGAGATATTCTAAATTTGTTACTATCATAGTATATCGTAAGAAACACGTCTACAAGTATTATAATGAAATATAAACCACATAAAGTATTATTTACATATTTTTTTTATTTATTTTTTATAAATATTCGAGTATTGTACAATTAATCTTAGGCGTTCGTCAGAGTTCACTAAATCACCAGGCGTGCGCGTAATGGCCGGCAGCGTGGGCTAAGGGAGCGGCGTAGACAGCGGAATGCGCCACGGGAGCAGCGGCGTAGACGGCGGAGTGCGCTACGGGAGCAGCGGCGTAGACGGTGGAGACGACAGCGGGGCTGCTGCGGACGTCGACGCGGGACTGGTGCGACACGGCGGCGGGGGCGATGGCGACTGGGGCAGCGTGTGCGTACACTGGGGCGGCGACGGCGTGGGAGACGACGGGAGCGACAGCGTGCGACACTACGGCGGGGCTAGAGACAACATCCACACGAGATTGGTGAGAGACGGCGGAGGCGGGGGTGTGGTAGGCGATGGGGGCGCTGTAGGCGTAGTGTCCCAGGGAGCGCTTGGCCAAGTAGTGTCCGTGTCCGGCGTATCCGAGAGCGGAGTGTCCCCAGGCTGGGGCAGCGTAGACACCGTGAGCGGCTACGACGGGAGCGGCGTGAGCGTAGACAGCGGGGCTGGTACGGACGTCAACGCGGGACTGGTGCGAGACGGCGGCGGGAGCGGCGACCACGGCGTGGGCGACAGGGGCGGCGACCACTGAGTGGGCGACGGCCACTGGGGCGACGGCGACGGCTGCGTGTGGTTCCAGAGCCTTAGCCTGGAGGTGGGCTGCCCGGGCGTGGATCACTTCAGCGGTGTCCAAGGGCCTGCCGTGGGGGTCCAGCACCAGGGCGGGGTGGTGCGCCGGCTGGGCCAGGGGGGATGTAAGAGGCGCACGCCACCGAGGCGAGAGCGAACAACACCACCAGCGATTGCATAATGAACGTGGTCTGTGTTTTGTCTGACGAACTAAGTAGATCACTTCAAACCGTGCACGGCCGACTGATAAATTCGACTCGCCCTCGGCCATATTTATACGGCCCGGATATAATTAAAAAGTAAGGCGATTTCAGTGGGCAATTGGACGGTAAAGTTAGAACAATGTCAGATGTCAATAAAATGTATGACCTCGCGCGAGTGGCGGTCATAACGAAAGAATTTAGTGGTCGCGTATGTAGTGCGCAACAGTGCTTCGACACACCTACGACGGACCATCGCTTACGTATCTATTCTACCTATAGAATAAAAAGGCGTTAACAATAGATTCGTTTCCGTGAAGAATTTATAATAATAAAAATTAATATCAAATGCTGTTTGAACAACTAAGAGCTCTTGCCATGCCTTGATTTCATAATAGCAATAAGTTTTGAAACCAAGTTCGGGTCCCATAATTCGTTTATGTAGAGGCGGAGAATGCGAATAGAAAGGTAGCCTTCGACAGTAGGCTAAGACTAGGTACACAAAGAAAAGCTTCGCGCGATCAAGCTTATTGGTATCCGTGAACCATATTAATCATTTATGACGGTATTTAGTTCCGTGTATCAATTGTACATTACGAAGTAGATAAGCTATGTATATTTACAAATGTTAATAATTCTATATGTACAATAGTGTATATTCCGGAAAAGTAAAACCTTAAAAAAAGATGCATAGTAACATGATTTGTGACTTTTTATTATTTATAAGGTTAATTGTGTCCTACCCACTAAATAAATTATTTTCTATTTCTTTTCTCCCGTACTTCAGGTTGTCTGGAAGAAATCGCTACTTAGCGATAAGGCCGCCTTTTATTTAAAGTTAGTACGTAAGATTTTTCCTCATTGATATGTATTTTCTGTGGTGTAATTTATAAATAATAAAGTAAGAATAAATAAATAAATAATTATATTTGTCCTTATATGTGTCTAACAAGTTAAAATTATGAACATTCAAAAGAGAGAATTGTTTAAATCACTAAATTAAAATACAAATTAAATGATTCGTTTTGTATTAATTTCATTTTGATCTTTTTTAATGCTTAATAATAAAATTTATACACATTAATTCACAGAGTAGATATTATTGTTTCACGGGGTCCTCGGCCTAATAGTAGCAATGTGTGGCTAAACTAATAACCAACGGGTCAACAATAACAAGGAGTTATACATTTTCTGACCGCCTCTGTAGCCAAATGGTTAAAAGTATTGCCTAGCCTTGCGTTAAGCGCGAGAGGTCCTGGGCTCAAATCCCAGGGAAACATAAAAATTGTTTCGGTCGGCAGGGCACAGAAGTCTGATCAACTACTTGCCCGTAAAGAACGGATCAGTGAAACGGACACAAAAATGTGTTCGTCCCATGCCCCACGAGGGGGAAACGGGATTTTACACTTTTTATACATTTTCTGTCTTTTTTTGGAATTCTGGACGTTACACGGGTAATAGATATATGGATTACGTTCGGTTCACAAGCCACCGTCCACTGTGGATATCGGAACGCCCGAAGCTAAAAAAGTTCAACGGCGCATCTTGTTGAGATGTTTTATGGCTGGGATTTTTCACCTTCTATCAAGCGAACCCTATGGTCGTCTGTCCTCCTCTACAATTACCGAGTTCTATATATAATATATGTGACGCAAAAGTTGTAAAAACTTTCAGACTGCATAAAACGGTTCGATTATTAAAAATACAAAGAATCAACAAAAACAAGACGGATATAATAACTCGATAGTGGGCGGGTCAGCCATACGTAAATAGAAGCAGGATTTGACCGTGTGACGTTGTGATAAAACCTGTTCGTACGATGCTTGTTAGATAATAAAAATCGTGTGATATATTATATGACAGATCAATAACATAGACGCATATGATTTCTGCGTTAAAATAATTATGTTATGTTTAAATATATGTATATATACGAAAAGGACATTTCAATGTTTGTTTATATTTTTTTGTTTAAATTTTTGAAAGTTGGAAATTTGGTTTGAAATGAAAACAAGCGTGTCTCGAACCTACAACCTACAGTGACTGAGTTTTTGTAAAGGTACACAAAAATGCAACGTTGAGTTAAAATAAACTATTGTTTTTAAATAAAATAAATAAAAAATGATACAATTTAAGTATATTTTATTCTCTTTAAAATTTCAATAATTATTTAGATTCATCAAAAAATGTTTGTCTATCTGTCTGTCGTGATTCTTCAGAGCGTACAAAGAGTCATGTGTTACCGAGAAGAATACCCAAAAAACTCATACCGGATGTTTAAAACATGTCTTTAAGACATACCTACACATTTTTGTGAATTCCATTACCTAATCAATTCATATCACTGCCAGGCAATCTTGTTATTAAAGAAATCATCATTATCCGTCCAATTCACGCCTTTTGAGAAAATCTAAATTTTATGACTTTTTTAAAACTTATTTATCGATAAATTTGCGACCTCAACTGGCAAAATATTATACATACGAATACAATTCCTCGCAAATTAGTGAGTATTATGGATATCCCCCTATATTTGGGGATAGCTAGTTTGTTCTTATTTCTGAAAATTATTTTTTTTTATTTTTAATTAATTATGATTATAATTAATTAAAAAAAATTCTGACCCCAGGAGCTATTCTTGTGAATGATTTATTTATAGTATTTTGAATTTAAAAATGTATTTAAACCTGGTTGCTCAAATTTAATTAATTAGTATTACATGAAAATAACGGAAGGAAGTAGAGTACGCGTATTTTAAGGACTTATATTTTGTAATTCAACGTACGCGCTGTATTATGTTCCGCGATATTGTCCGAGGTCGATATTGTAATAATATTGAATGCGTAATTCCGATTAACTTTGAATGTGTTTACAGGTATGACCACATTTTTTTATTTATCAAAACAACCATGAGATTGTTATTATTTATTGATTTATTTCGTATACACATTAACAGTTAAGACCCAATTCGAAAGCCTTTACAATTTCGAATGGAATTGAATATCGGAACGAAATATTTCACAATTATTATTGTTTATAGCATTTTTATATTTAAATACTGCTTTTACATACGTAAAAAAGCTTTTTCTATTTTTCTATTTTATTAATACTAAAAAACAAATGTAGTTTAAAACGCGATAAAACTTAAACTGACGTTTCGTGCTCTATAGTGCCGTGTACACGAGTATTACAAAGAAGTTTAGTAATAAATCCGTTTACACTGTTAAATGGTTTATTAAACGTTACGATACTACTATATTTAAGACTTCGGTTTGAAAATATAATGTAACAATTTACAAAAAAACAAAGTTGTACATCATACTATTTTTCATCTAAATAACTGTAAAAAATCTAAATATTATATTATGTAGACGCGTAGAGAGAGGGTTTAAATATACTAATATGTATCACTTTACGAGAGATTTTCCTTAATTAATATTTTTAATTTAACAGAAGCAACCTTTTATTTAGCGGAATAAAAAGTTTTTCTTTTACACGTTTCAGGTCAGATCTATTGTCCAGGCTTTACACAAGAGAAAACAGGGCCAATATTTTGTTCTCGAACGAGGTCCTAAATAGAATAACTTCCTTTGTATGCGTTATGCGGCTTCGCGAGGTAAAAGTACAAACCTCGCTCCGATTACAAAAATGAATAAAAGATTGTCTTCCTAATATGGAATCAGAAGTTAAATAACTTACATTACATATTATTGCGATAATAAGAGTAAATGGAAAAGGTTAGTTAAAAGCTATTTGACTTATATTTTATCAATAATACCGAAGTTATCCAGAGTGTTTTAAACCGAATTCTGTGACTGGTTATAAGTACCCGTATCTAAAAATTCGTCATACAACCCGTAGATTTTAATAGTAGTTCCTTTTTTCGGGAAATAAGGACCACAATAGGGGGGACCCCCCCCAACCCCCCAAAACCCCGGGCCCCCCCCTTAAAACCCCCCCCCCCCCAAAAACCCCCCCCCCCCCCCCCCCACCCCCCCCCCCCCCCCCCTCCCGCCCCCCCCCCCCCCCCCCCCCCCCCCCCCCCCCCCCCCCCCCCCGGGGGCCCCCCCCCCCCTTTTTTTTTTTTCCCCCCCCCCCCCCCCCCCCCCCCCCCCCCCCCCCCCCCCCCCCCCCCCCCCCCCCCCCCCCCCCGGGCGGGGTTAAAAAAAAAAACATTTTCATATACCTATTAAATAAATATATTCTGTGTGACATAATTTTTTAAAAAATCTTATTAAAGTATTCTGTGCTTTTACTCTTTAGTAGTAATCATATAACTACAGTATTAACGGTTTTAAACGGGAATTGTATTTCTTAGCAAAGGTCATGTAATAGTTAACAATACGTGAACTATTTCTTGATCTAAAACCGGTAAAGGTGTTTTATATTAATAAATCTTTTCAGTAAGAAGCGATCAAGTTGTGTGTAAACAAATGACTAACAATAATTTGTTCGCTAAAGTTAGAATGTAGGGTTTTAGCCTTGATATTAATTATATTGCGCATGACATTGACACAAGTGAGTGTAGTTGATAATATACCCTTTATTACGAGTTCATTTATCTTAAACAGTCAGATTTACAGTGTGTCGCGTCGGGTCGGATTAGCACATGTTTAAATTATATTTTCTTCACCGATTTTTGGATTCTAACCGAGGGTCGGTTAGGATCCAAAAATGTAATTAATAATTTTGAATAAAGCATATGAATCTTGTAACTGCTTGTTTGTGAATTTAATCAGTGCAATAAACACATACATATTTCCGCCCCTAGCCCGCTTAATGAAAACGATATAATGTTATTATTATAGAGATCTATATATATCATATTATAGATCTTAAGATAAATAAAATCAATTGTATAAAATATTTTAATATTGAGAAAATTCTGACTCTACAACCTACGAAAAACACGGTAGTGTGCTATTGCATCGAGGTTTGAAAAGAGATAAAGTTGGTTGAATCAACGCGAAATTGATAACGATTCAAATCAAAAGTTGTCTTTTCTATTATTCTAAGTAGGAATTGTAAACATGTTTTAACTATGGGTAACTACGGCCCTACGTTTCTTAAG